GGCGCGGTGAGCGCGGAGGTCGCTGGGGGGCTGCGCCAGCCGTGGGTCAGGCACCCTTGGCTCAGCGGTCGGGTATTGAGCGGAGGGGAAAAAAACAAAGCCAGCTGGATTTAAAAAGACTTTCCCAAAATGTCTGCCACGACATATGCGTGATCTAATTAAAGGGCCTTGATGCTTGTCTCAAACTGATTGTGCGGTTTCAATTTATTTATTTTTCTAGTATTATAGTCTAATATTTTTCCTAATTGTAGATAGTAGCATTATTAATAGACAAACATGTAATGAAGGTGACTTGCATTTTACTAATAGCTTAAGTGGGCTGAGTAGTTATATGGTCATGGGTTGGACCTGGCTGGATGCCAGGTGCCCACCAAAGGCCTCTTCAACAGGACAGGGGAGAGAAAAACACAGCAAAAGGCTTGTGGGTCGAGATCAGGACAGGGAGAGATCATTCGCCAGTCACCATCATGGGCAAAACAGACTCAACTTGGTGAAATTAATTTAATTTATTACCAATCAAATCAGAGTAGGGTAATGAGAAATAAAACCTAAATCTTACAACACCTTCCTCCCACCGCTCCCTTCTTCCCGGGATCAACTTCACTCCCAGTTTTCTCTATCTACTCCCCCCAGTGGTGCAAGGGGACTGGCAATGGGGGTTGGGGTCAGTTCATCGCATGTTGTCTCTGCTGCTCCTTCCTCCTCAGGGGGAGGACTTCTCGCACTCTGCCCCTGCTCCAGTCTGGTCCCTCCCACGGCAGACAGTTCTTCACAAACTTCTCCAGCATGGGTCCTTCCCATGGGCTACAGTTTTTCACGAACTGCTCCAGCATGGGTTCATAATTTCCATGGGGTGCAGTCCTTCGTGAACAGACTGCTCCAGCATGGGTCCCCGGTAGGGTCACCAGCCCTGCCAGCAAACCTGCTCCAGCCTGGGCTCCTCTCCCCATGGGTCTGCAAATCTTGCCAGGAACCTGATCTGGCTCAGGCTTCCCATGGGGTCACAGCCTCCTTCCTTCATCCACCTGCTCTGGCGTGGGGTCCTCCCCGGCATACAGGTGGAGATCTGCTCCACCGTGTACCAACATGGGCTGCAGGGGCACAGCCTACCTCACCTTGGTCTTCACCACGGGCTACAGGGGAATTTTCTGTTCCAGTGCCTGGAGCACCTCCTCCCCCTCCTTCTTCACTGACCTTGGTGTCTGCAGGGCTGTTTCTCTCACATTCTCTCACTTCTCTTCTTTCTCTGGCTACTGTTCTGCAGCAGATTTCTTAAATTTGTAATCAAAGAGGATCTTCCACCGTTACTGATTGGCTTGGCCTTGGCCAGCGGCGGACACAGGGGAAAACATCTAGCAGCTTCTCACAGAAGCCACCCCTGTAGCCCCCCTGTTGCCAAAACGTTGCCGTGCAAACCCAATACATATGTATATTTACCAAAATATTCTTCATCCCAGAGAAACTTTAAAAGAGTTTTACTAATTCGCTGGAAAACCTGGATTCGATAAGTAAATTGCATCCTTACTTACACTGTCTTGGTCAGCAGAGCCATGGGAAAAAATTACTACTTTTTCTGGTTTTCCTATTATTATTTTTCCTGAGTAGACCTCTAAATCTTATTTACAACAGAGAAAAAAAAAAAAGTAGAAAGCATCTGCTGAAGCAGTAAAAGCTGTCAGGTTGTTTTATTCCTTTTTTTTCCAGATCAGATAAGTCAACTTGAAAGATAAGGAGCTCTCTAGCTTTATGCCAGCTGTTTCAGGTTCCTTTATGAATTTGTTTACGATGTCCTTTTTTTTTTCAAACAGAAGAACTGAAAATTGGTAGAATGAAATGATTGCTATCCATTTGAGGAAGACGCTGTCACGCACAACCCATATCACTTAAATATGAATTTGTCTCACTGATGATCCTGCGGTCATCTTTGTGTGCACAAAACGCTGTCTCTTCATGTGATGAAGTACTAGGGGCTGAGCCCTGCT